GCGGTGGGAGCGTCCTTTAGCGCGTGCCCAGTGGGGGCCGCGGGCGCGCCGCCGTTCTACGCAACACCGCCTGATTGGCAGGCCGCGGTGGCCGCTGTGTCGGACGAAGCAGACCAGCGGGCGCAGCACGGGGACCCGCCGGCCGTGGTAGTGGTCTGCGGCCCGAAAGGCGCCGGCAAGTCCAGCTTTTCGCGTCTTCTGGTGAACGCGCTGCTGCCGGGCTGCCGGCGCGTGGCATACCTGGACACAGACTGCGGCCAGCCCGAGCTCACGCCACCGGTGCGGCGCGCGCGGTCTGCTGGCGTTGCGCGACGCCCGCGGCCGACTGGAAACGACGGGCTGCGGCCCCCACAGGCGCGGCAGGCTGGTGCGGGTCACAAGGGCCGACCTTGGGGGTTGCGCTCTAAGCCTGAAACCTGAACCCCAAAAGCCCTGCCTGCCACTTCTGGCGTCAGAAGTGCGCCTTGGTATCGGCGTCGCAAGGAGCGCCCGGTGCCCCTGCCTGCCGCGCAGGGGCTGGTGTCTGCCCATGTGATCTCGGCGCCGCTCCTGGGGCCGCCCCACCTGCACCATCAGGAGCCGGCGCTGGCGTACTTCCTGGTGTGCAGCTCGCAAACGGCTGCTGCTGCTGCTGCTGCTGCTGCTGCTGCTGCTGCTGCTGCTGCTGCTGCCGCTGCTGCTGCTGCTGCTGCTGCCGCTGCTGCTGCGACTAGTGATGATGTGTGGTTTGCCCTTGGCCTGCCGCCTGCCCAGTCAGCTCATCCCTCCTGCTGAATACACTGTCGCGCCGAGGCTGGCACTCCGGACTCTCCGCTTTCTGCCACCCAGCTCCCCCTTACTCAACCCGCCCCTCAAAATTCCAGGGTGACGCCACCCCTGAGTCCGACCCCGGCCGCTACTTGGAAGCTGCGCAGCAGCTGCTCGCCTGGTACTGGCACGCGGCGCCCGGCGCGGGCACGCGGCCGCCGCTGGTGGTCAACACGCACGGCTGGGTGGCCGGGCTGGGGCTGGAGCTGTTGATAGAGCTGCTCAGGGCGATCGGCCCCACACATGGTGAGCACGCGGACGCGCTTACTGCATTCGTGTGCGTGGCGGCGGCGCCTAAACGCCTCTCCTCCAATGCAGACGGACGCAGCGCCAGGTCTGGTGTCGCCGCCGCCGCACGCAGCTGCTATGCTGTGCAGTTGCTGAGTAGGGGGCGCCCGCGCCCCGTCAATCCTGACGTCAACCGGGCGGCCCCTGATTCAATCGATGGGACGCAGTCGTCGAGATGTGTACACCCAACCCCAAGAAGAACCTGCCTGACGGCCACTTCTGGGCCGACGCCGGCGCCGGCGATCCTCAGCAGCAGCAGCAGCAGCAGCAGCAGCAGCAGCAGCAGCAGCAGCAGCAGCAGGCCCCCGGCATGTTTCACCCAGGGCCCCCGTCTGCAGCGATCCTGAGGATCCCCGCCGTCAAGGCGACCCCCTCGGCGCCCGCAGGGCCGGGCGGCGGCGGCGGCGGCGGCGGCGACGCCGCGGCGGGCACGCCCGGGCCGGCGGCTTCTGGGGACTTTGTGTCTTCTGTGGTCAGCCGGCAGTCAGCGGGCGGGGACGCACAGAAGGGGGGCGGCCGCGGGCCGTCCGCAGTGGAGGCGCGGTCGCTGCACTGGCTGTCCTGGGCGCAGCGCGCGTGCGCTGCGCACGCCGGCGGCGCCGACGGCACGGCCGCCGGCGTCGGCGGCGGCGGGGGCGACGCCGACGGCTTCGCTGCAGCGG